GCAGGCAGCCTTGAAGATTTCTTTGAGGTAAATGTACAACTTCTCTTTTAGGCTTCCTTAATTAGCAGTATTGATGATGCTCATCTTGCTCATCTGGTTTGCTTATCTGTTCTGCTGTATAGATTAGTACCTTGTATTTGCTCATCTCATCAATAAAGTTCCACTTTTTCTTTGCTGATTAAAAAATTTTAAAAAAAATAAAAATTAAAAAATTAGCATCTACCTTAATATTTCAACTTCATTCACAATACTTGCTTCTCTTTATGAATTAAGATTATTATTTTGAGACAAGCTCACTTGTTGTTGTTTTTTTTTTTTTGTTTTTAAGCATTACTACTGGTCATCATGGCCAATCCGTATTGAAATAATAGTTTGAGAGAGTGAGAGAGGATAGAGAGAGAGAGAGAGAGAGAGACACTGAATTGTTTCTGTAATTGTATATATTTACAAGGAGATGTACACTCTCTTTATAGAGAGGAGAAGACAACATAGGATGCCAATTGAGGCACCGAAAGCATAAAGCAAGGGGGGACACTAATTATTAAAGCTAACACTAACATATAATAATATACTAACAATACTAACACATAATAATATACTAACATCCCCCCGCAAACTCAAGGAGGGAAAGCATCAACCAAGTTGAGTTTGGAAACAAGATCATTGAAGCGGCCAGGAGGATGAGCCTTAGTGAAGATATCAGCGGGTTGATCGAATGAAGCAATAGGGAGAAGATGAACAGTACCACAGGTAACATGCTGGCGAATGAAATGACAATCAATCTCAATATGTTTGGTGCGATCATGAAAAACATCATTGTGAGCAATCTGAATGGCACTCTGATTGTCACAATAGAGAGGGGTAGGATCAGAAGAAGAAACACCCATATCAGCAAGGAGCCAGCGAAGCCAGAGAAGTTCCTGAGTAGTATCAGCAAGAGCTCGGTATTCAGCTTCGGTGCTAGAGCGGGCAGTGAGGGATTGTTTTTTGCTACGCCAAGCAAGAAGAGAGTCCCCTAAGAAGAAGCAGAATCCCGTGGTGGAGCGTCGATCTGTAGGATCCCCAGCCCAATCAGCATCGGAAAAGGCACGCAGTTCAAGAGAGGAGGAAGCAGAGAAGTGAAGACCATGGAACAGAGTGCCTTTGAGGTATCGAAGGATGCGGAGTAGAGCAGTATAGTGGGGAGTGCGAGGAGCCGACATGTACTGACTGACAATGTGAACAGCATAGGCAATGTCAGGACGAGTTACTGTGAGATAGACAAGGCTGCCGACGAGTTGGCGATAAAGAGTAGCATCAGAGAGAAGAGTCCCATCGAGAGGAGTGAGACGAATCTGAGGATCAATCGGAGTAGAGGCAGTTTTGCAATCAGTAAGACCAGCTCGAGTCAGAAGATCGGATGCATATTTGGCCTGGGACAAATAGGAACCAGTAGAATCATGAGAGACTTCAAGGCCTAAGAAGTAGTTAAGAGTACCAAGGTCCTTCATCTCAAATTGTTGGTGGAGAAATTGTTTGAGGTGGAGAATACCAGCTGTATCATTACCAGTGATAATCATATCATCCAAATACAGAAGGAGAAGAGTGGTACCATGAGAAGTAGTCCGTATAAAAAGAGCAGAGTCATAGGAGCTAGAGGTGAATCCGAAGTCATGAATGGTAGAACTGAACTTAGCAAACCAAGCACGAGGCGCTTGCTTGAGACCATAGAGAGCACGCTGTAGTTTGCAAACCTGATGAGGTTGAAAAGTGGACCCAGGTGGGGGTTGCATGTAGACCTCTTCAAGAAGATGACCATTGAGGAAGGCATTTTTGACATCCATCTGAAAGAGCCCCCAGTGGCGAGCAGCAGCAACAGCAAGTAAACTGCGAACAGAGGTTAGCCGAGCAACAGGAGAGAATGTCTCCTCATTATCAATACCGTATTCCTGGTTGAAACCCTTGGTAACAAGACGAGCTTTGTAGCGTTCAATAGAGCCATCAGAATGTGTTTTGATTTTGTAAACCCATTTGCAGCCAATCGCAATCTTGCTAGGAGGAAGATCAACAAGATCCCAAGTATGAGCTTTGTCCAAGGCCTAGAGTTCATCAGTCATAGCTTACTGCCAAAGGGGATTAGTACAAGCCTCACGATAGGAGGTAGGTTCATAAGTAGAGAAGGCAGCAGATCCAACAATATAATCACGAAGATGGATAGGAGGTTGAGTTACCCGGCGTGGTCGACCCGTAGGAGGATCGGTGGAAGGAAGAACCGGTGGAGAAGGAGGTGTGGCAATAAGAGGTAGACCTTCTGGAAGAGCAGGCTGGACGGGATCAGGACTGAGCAAGGGCGTCTCGATGAAGGAGGAACCTGTATCAAAATCAGTAGAGAAAAGATCTATGGAAGGATTAGTAAACAGTACAGTAGTGGAAAGTGCGAGTAAGTGAAAGGAGGATAGCGAGGAAAACATTTGGTGCTCCCAGAAAACGACATGGCGAGAGATACGAAGACGTTTAGAGAGAGGATCGTAACAGCGAAAGCCTTTATGTTCAATTCCATACCCAAGAAAACAACAAAGATGAGAACGAGGTTCAAGCTTGGTGTGTTCATGGGATTGAAGTAGAACAAAGCAGGCAGAGCCAAAAACTCGGAGATTGGCGTAAGGAGGGGGAGTGCCATGCAGACGTTCAAAGAGAGTTTGATTATGGATGACAGGGGTAGGAGCACAGTTGATAGTATAAACAGCAGTGAGGGCAGCTTCCCCCCAAAAGTTTTCAGGGCAGGAAGAAGAGAGAAGGAGAGCGCGAGTAGTGTCAAGAATATGCCTATGTTTCCGTTCAGGGCGGCCATTTTGCTGGGACATGCCAGCACAAGAACGATGAGGCAGTGTACCATGATGCTGAAGAAAGGAAAGGAAATCTGAATCCCGGTATTCCATAGCATTGTCAGAGCAAAAAATTTTGATGGCTTTGGAGAATTGGGTGTGGACCATTTGGGCAAATCTATAATAAATGTGTTTAAGTTCAGACCTATTTTTCATGAGAAAAAGCCAAGTAAACCGGGAAAAATCATCAATAAAAACAACAAAATAGCGGGATCCCCCCATAGTAGTAGTAGGGGAGGGTCCCCAAATATCCGAATGTATAAGATCAAAATGTGCAAAGGAAACAGAAGTACTTTTATTAAATGATAAAGCAAGTTGTTTGGCAAGTTGACAAGGTATACAATCGAAATGATCTAGAATTACATGACCCAACTGTCCACTAGAAACCAAAGACTTTAAGCGATTAACAGAAATATGCCCTAAGCGACAATGCCAAAAATGAAAGGGAGATAATGAGGAAGTAGATGTAGGAGCAGCGATCTGAGGAGAGGCAGGAACATGAAGGTGAATGAGTTCATAGAGACGTCCACGCTTACGGCCGATCCCAATAGTCTGCCCCGTCTGAGGGTCCTGTACCAAACAATCAGTAGCAGAAAAGGTGACAGTTAGACCAAGTTCACATAATTGACCAATGGAAATAAGGTTTAAGGTGAGAGTAGGGATATGATAAACTTAAGGTATAGATAAAGAAGAGGTGGAAACAGTACCAACATGACGGACAGACATGAGGGAACCATCAACAGTATGAATTGAGGGAAAATTAGGAGATGAGGAGATGAGGAGAAGGAAGAAAAGATAGTAGAACTGGAGGTCATATGATTACAACAGGCAGAGTCAAAATACCAAGAAGAGTTTCCTGGGATTACAGACAAAGCAGTAGGAGGAGGTGTACCAGAAAGGGAGAGAAGTTGTTTGAGCATGGCCTCTACATCCGTCGGAGAAAAGCGTGGGGTAGACGGAGCAGGTGACTCAGAGAACCCCGTAGAGGCAGAAGCATCAGTGTGATGAGCCTGATTCCCGGAAGCAGCAGCAGCAGTGTGATGAGATTGATTCCCGGAAGCAGCAGTAGTAGTGTGATGAGATTGATTCCCGGAACGATGAAAGCTTCCCCGGGAAGAGCCACCGCGAGAGGAGTGGCTATTGGAGGATGATCGGGATGGATTGCGAAAATAATCCTGTTGCAGATGACCAGGACCAAGTTTGTTGCAGTAGCGGCAAGATCTGACGGGGCAATTGACCAGGAGATGGGTTGAAGGAAGGCCCCGATTCTGACAATAGAGGCAAGTAGTGGTCCGCTGGGTAAATGATGGCCGGTACGGAGGAGTGGCAAGAACAGAGTCCACATGATGAGTTTGAAGTGTATCGAGACGAGTCTCCTCTGATAGCAACTCAGAAATTGCTTGTTCAAGAGTGGGCAATGGATGGCGATGAAGCAGAGAGGCACGTACGGGCTCAAAAGAGGAAGTAAGAGCCATGAGAAAGTGCCCCAACCTTTGCTGGTTGCGGTAGATAGTAAATAAAACAGCATCTTCGTGGTTATGCCAAGTTGGTTCTGAAAGAACAAGCTGATCCCAAACAAAGTACATTTGAGAAAGGAAGTCATTAATGGACTGAGTGGATTCTTGGCGCATGCGGTGAAGTTGGTTATAAAGTTGATATTGATGGGCAAGACCAGTAGTCTGGTATCGTTCTTTCAAAAAATCCCAGATGTCTTTTGCAGGAGTAGTTACAGAGTCAAGCTGAAAGCGACCAAACTGAAGACTGATAGAGGTAACAGAGGTATTACGAAACCAGGTAATGATTTGGTAATTCTTACTGTCCCATTCCTCAAGTCGGTCTTCATATGTAGCAGTAGGAGCAGTAGTTTCATTAGTGGCACTGTCTTTCACCGGTTTAGTCACATCCCCGGTGACAATTCGCCAGAGCTTCTTGCTTTTGAGGAAGGAGGACATGGCTTGGGCCCACAGAACATAGTTTGAACTATTCAAAATAACGGAAATGGGATGGGAGGCATCATGACGATCCATAATACTAGTTGAGTAGGGTTAAAGCAATAGGAATAGACTTGTAGGAGCAAAATTAGGTAAAATAGAGTGCACTAGTGAGTCCGGAAGGTCGAGAATAGCAAGGAAATGTATGCTGGACAGAGATGATGTCAGCAATGATGTTAGCGGCGCACGTTAGTAGAGTGCAGGGAGGAGCACGTTAGCAGGAAGGCGGCGGCGCACAGTAGCGGACAGGCGTAGGCGCGGCGCACGGTAGCTGTTTTGGCACACGCGGGTGCATACTAGTGAAGCGGCGCACGAGAGGCGTACAGTAACAGGCGCGGCGTACAGGAGAGGTAGGGCTGACGTTAGCCGCGAACGTGTGGGCGCGTGTGAGAGTGATGGCAGAAGTGGTGACGCGCAGAGGACAAAGGCGGCGCGTGTGGGCGTGTGGAAGGTTTTCTGAGAACGGGCTTGGTGCCGTTGGAATTGTGAGGAAATTCCGAGCGGTTTGATGTAGTGCCACTGTGTACGGGACTAAACACCAAAATCGAAAATTGCCAGAAATGTAACACTGGGCTTTGATACCATGAAATAATAGTTTGAGAGAGTGAGAAAGGATAGAGAGAGAGAGAGAGAGAGAGAGACACTGAATTGTTTCTGTAATTGTATATATTTACAAGGAGATGTACACTCTCTTTATAGAGAGGAGAAGACAACATAGGATGCCAATTGAGGCACCGAAAGCATAAAGCAAGGGGGGACACTAATTATTAAAGCTAACACTAACATATAATAATATACTAACAATACTAACATATAATAATATACTAACATGTATAATGGGCAAGGCTATTATTTGGTGATGAATCATGGCAAACTACGTTTTCTAATAATAACATAGACTTACAATCTGATGATATTATAGCATCCACCATTTATCGCTCCATGGATGGAGAAATAGAGTCGTATTGCAGGACACATGGAGGGGTGTCTCACACAGGTGAACTTTCTAGTTTTAATTTTTTTTTCGCTGAATATAATATTGGTACTTTTTTTTTTCTTTTTTTCTCAAAAACAACACAAAATAGTTTATTCCTGTAAACTTTTTTTTTTTACACCATTTCTCTCCGCAAATTTTAAATTTTATGGTGTAACTAAAGATCATATATGATTTGGCAATGACCCGGCCCGGTAATCTTCACCGGCCTACCCCAACACAACCCATTAGAACTGACCCGACCTGTGCATTGTTTATATCGATGATTGCAAACTTCAGTTAAGCCCACTCGGTTTACCTGAATCTAGATACTGATGCATGAAGATATTGACATGATGACAAATCCTAATTTAATATTCAGATTTGTATAAAAATTACTTTGAAAATAATAAAAAAGTAACAGATAAATAAATTAAAAGGAAAATTAGTCTAGGGTCTCTCTCCCACTTTTCGTAATGGAAGAGATCCACAAAATTATTTTTTGATGTCTAAGGTCCCTAAACATATATCAGAGAAATTTGACTCGTTGTCTCTCTATGCATATATCAGCTCAGGTTTGCTCTGTTTTCTCCAAATGTCTCAACTCTCTCTCTTCTCCCTCTCTCTCTCTCTCTCCTACATCAACCCCAAACCCTAGCTTCTTCCTTCATCCTCGAATTCATCAGAGATCACTGTTGATCAATACTGAGGGACCAAGTCCTCGACATTCCGGCGACACCCACAGACAACGTACAGAACAACAGCTACATACCAAACATATTAACGGCTGTGATCATCTTATCATGGTACTTCTCCAACATTGGAGTTCTTTTACTCAACAAGTACCTCATCAGCATCTACGGTTACAAGTACCCAATCTTCCTTACCATGCTCCACATGCTATCCTACGCCGTATGCAGCTTCATCGCCATTAATTGGCTCGAGATTGTTCCTTTCCAGCAAATCTTATCTCGTCGCCAGTTCTTCAAAATCTTCGCTCTCTCTGCCATTTTCAGCTTCTCCGTCGTCTCCGGCAACATCTCTCTTCGCTACCTACCTGTCTCCTTCAACCAAGCCATTGGCTCCACCACTCCTTTTTTCACTGCCATCTTCGCCTTCCTCATCACTTTCAAGAAAGAGTCCCTCCAGGTATTTCAATTCATAATTCAAAAGGCAAATTACACTGGTCACATTAAACTCTTCATTCAAACTATGATTGAATCAACAGCAGCAGAACCAAAGACAAAATGATTAAATCAAAGTTTTATAGTTCCAGAAAAATTCTGGACCAGAGAAATTTGAATTTTCTCTGGGTTGAACCCAAAGAAATTCATAGCATTAAGTTTAAAGAAAATCTATCACAAACTCATAGAAGAACTATTAATTTGTTTGTACAGGAAATTGTGATTAAATCAGCAGCAGCAGAACCAAAGACAAATTGATCAAATCAGAGTTTTATAGTTCCAGAGAAAATTTAGAATTTCTCTGGGTTCAACTCTCTGGCTTGAAATGAAATTTCTCTAGGTTGGTCTAGAGAAATTCTGTGGTTTGGATTGACCAAACAGATATGTGTGGTCACTGAGATATGTATATAAACTCTTTTTGGCATAAATTCCAACTAAGAATGGAAAAGTAATGGCAAAACACAAACTCTGCAACCTCAAATTTGAAATTTCCACACCCTAGAGTTTGATCTCAAATATCATATACTAAACAAATAAATAACAAAAGGAAAAAATAAAACTTCTTTCAAGTTGTTCCAATACGGGTCAAAAAAGATTAGTGCATTGCGTGCCAGATGACATCCTAGAAACTGAAATGCATAAAAAGTCATGACACAGTTAACCTGGGTACTGTAGACAAAATTTAATGGACATGGATGCAGGAACAATCGAAGAGAGAAAACAAACAAGCATCAAACACACAGTGAGAAATTTCTCTGTGATGAATTTTCTCTGGATCAACTTGAGGGACCTTAGACATTATGAAAATATCGAGTGTCCTTTATGCTATAAAATCTTAATACCAGGAACCTTAAAAAAAATTCCCCTAAATTAAATCCAATGAAAAATATTATGAAATTAGTTTAAAAATATCTTGTATTTTTACTTTTTACTTTTTTTCTTGTGCACTTGTTAACCTGACCTTTATATATGAGTACAGATTCAAAATATGGGAATTCTAATATATATATCATATACACTTCTAATTTTGTTTTTTTTTTTTTTGTTTTTTTGTTTTTTTTTTTTACCGAAGATAGGATGTGACAAATTGAAATTATGTCATTTTTTTTTTTTTTCCAGTTATAAGGTGCATGTGCACACCATTTGAAGTGTGTGCACCAGAGTATGTCTCTCAAAGTATATGCAGCCACAAGAGTCTTTCAACAACTATTTTACCATCGAACGAGCTTCTATTCTAGCCAAGCGTTTATCATCCCATTCAAGAATTGAACGTTTTTCAAATGTAAACTGCAATAATTTATACTAGTGTTCCACCCTTTTACGTTTACAATTATTTATTTATATATAGGAGTATGTAAATTGCGAATTTTAAATTTATTTATTTATTTATTTATTTATTTTTATTTACATATAGAAAAAAGAATATAACAAATGCAACATCTTTTCAATCAATTATTTTATGTTTGCTTTTATTCAAAATTTAAAAATAATGTACGAGCAAAATTTATAATTAAATTAAGGAAAATTTTATTCCTAATGATAATCAATATAAATATTATACATTAAGAAAAAAAAATGTGCAAATGGTTGCGGTAAAAAAAGAAGATCTGTATATGGACTGATGCTGATGTCCATGACCTGCTGTTAGGGTTTGCTGCTGGGTTGTGTGGGCTGCTGCAGATGATTTTGTTGTTGTCCTCTTGTAGTGTGTTTGGTGTTAGTTTTGTTGTGGTCCTATTTTGGATTGTATTAGGTTTGGTTAGCACTTACTTGGGTGAGGTTATTTTTGGGTGTTTATGATTAATTCCTTACCAACTTTTGATAGTGTGCTAGCATATGATTGGGCGGTCTTATTGGTGCCAATCTAGTTAGGATTGATTTGGCTCGCTATGATGCTTTTTGCACTCATTCTCTTTTTTTCTTTATTGATGTTATAGCTTCTGTTTCATTAATAAAGCTCTTTTTCTTTGTTGATAAAAAAAAAAAAATGTGGTTAGCAATTATGCTTACATTAATTTACTATAGTTTTAATTTCAAATTAAAAAAAAAATATTTCAAAAGCATTTTATTTAGCTAGCACCAAATAGAATTATCTTAGCAAAAATGAAAGTTATAAAATTTTGTTGTAAATTTTTAAATGTTCATTGTTATACATTCTATTCTACTTGCTTGTTTGTTTGCTTGCTTACTTTGAGAGTTTGATCTTTGATCTTTGCTCCATATTCATTATATTGTTTTATTTATTTTTCTTCTTCTTGCTTGATTTTCGCATGATACTTTTTTCATAGTGCATCTCCGAGTGTATTAGTGAAAATATCATACACTTAAAATGCACAAAATTACAATATATGGAGAAAAAAAAGGGTAAGTAATTGCCCAAAACGAAAACTTTTTTAAGAAAAATATATATATATATATATATATATATATATATATAAAAGGTACAAAAACTAAACATAAAATATAATACAAAAAATAAATAAATTATAGGATTTTTAAGAAGTGAGACTCGCATACAAATTTTGTAAAATCTTGTCTATTCATATACTTTTTGTGTATGTTTTTTTTTGTACTTTTAATATCGAGAATGGCATTGAAATAGTTTGTACTTCTTACATTAAGTCCATCTAATAGTTTTAGCAAACACAAATGTAATAAATTTCATAACACAAAACACAATCAATTGCGAGATAAAGTATCTAAAAAAAATAAAAGCAATGTTCAATGATGATGTAGAAGCACACTTGACATTTTAATTGGAGATATAATCAAATAAATCGTCATAGAAGAGGAAGAAAATCTTTATTTTTCATCATAACAATTACATAACTCAAAAAAAAAAAAAGAAAAGAAACACTTGAGAAGACAAATAGATGTGGTTAGAGACCTTTGAATTATATTAATTAATAGTTATTAAATTTCAATGGTTGGGCTTCTAATGTTTCCGTTTGGGGACTTACTTTTTTAGCCAATTAGCCAAAAAGTTACTAAATTAGCCAAAAAGCCAACAACTCATACAAAAAAGTCAAAGATTCTTTTTTCTCTCTACTTTTTGCACATCTTTTCGTAATTAGCCAAAAAATTATCCCAAACATACAAGTTTTTTTTACCTACCTTTTTAGCCAAATAGCCAAAAAGTTACTAAATTAGCCTGTTCCCAAACGAGGTCATTAAAGTTGTATCTTTGGTTTCATCTATATTCACTTCATAATTTGAGAGTGGACACATATCATACCTTTACACAAATACTTGACACATTTTTTAGCATTATTAATGAAATGCATAGTGTATTTTTTCTTTTTTTTGCAACATTTTATTTTTTAATAAGAATTTATATTTATTTTAGATATTTTTTTAATATAAAAATTATTTTTTACAATGTAATTTTTTTTTCTGTAATTTCAATTTGTTACTTTTAAATAAGAATTTATATTTGTTTTAGATATTCTTTTAATATAGAAATTATTATTTTTTAGATTATACATGAAATGCATTAGTGGTATATTTTTTTTCTTTTTTTTTCACAATTACAAACTATTATTTTTTAATAAGAATTGTATTTGTGTTAGATATTTTTTAATATATAATTTTTTTTATAGATTTTAATGAAATACACAATGTGATTTTTTTTTTCTCTTTTTATTTCGCAATTGTAACTTGTTATTTTTTAATAAGAAATTATATTTGTTTTTAGATTATTTTTTTAAATATACAATTATTTTTTTTTAGATTTTTTGTAAAATAATTTAAATATCCATCACTAATTATAGTGTATAGGAGAAGTTGAAAATCGTTTGGTAGTAAGTATGAGAAAAGTCAAAAGGTTTGTAGGTTGGGAGAGGTCAATAAATACTGAGGTTTTTTTTTTGATCAAAAAATTAAAAAATTAAGATTGAAATATTAGAGCTCCCACAGACTTGTGGTTTAAAACCTCATTTTCCTTATATTTTGATCAGCAAATATAAGAACTTTATTGATGAATTCAAACAAAATATGATAAAATACATTAATAAAGAGGAGGGTGCAAAAGAGCATCACAACGGACATCAAGATCCCAACCAGGTTGGCATTAAGATGCACACCAAATCATCTGCTAGCACAAACCTCGAGCTCCAAGTTTGATGAGAGACCAACTATTAGAACACAAAAATGATTTAGACTCTAAAAGAAGAGCTCTAATGGAGCCACTAATTTGTCTTCTTCTTTCTATTTTTTTTGGTCTTTTACTTCACTGTTTTTTTTTTATTATTATTGGCTGACTGCTCATTAGAGCTGTCCTTTTGCAGCTCTAATTAGAGCTCCGGAGCATGACCCTTAGAACAAACAACAAGAAAACACGCAAACTACAAAGCAACACACCACATCACACCCACAGATTAAGACCTGTGAGGTACCTAAGAACGAGACAAACAACCCTTGCTACCATAGACCACCCAGCAACCATCAATTACAAGTCAGTGCAGCAGCTGCCGAGCAAGACATAAACGCTGAACATTTGGTGAATCGCTCCAGCATTTCCACTTACCCAAAGGCAATCCAAACACAAAACAAAGAACTCAACCCAGCAACGACTTCAATTGATAGGTATGGTTCGAATTTGCTGTAAGTTATAGATCAAATCTTGGATTGAGTAAGGGCACCCCTTCGAGTAAGCTTGACCTAGAATGCCACCCTTGCCTAATAAAATCGCAAAATCATCGAGCCAAAATTGTTTTTCGATTAAAAATTACTTCATTCCTGAGTTTCAAATAGACCACATGATTGCCATGGAATCAACCTTCTAGATTCTAGCTTCAAATTTTTCCCCATTTAAATCCTAACCACCAATGAAGCAAGGCCTTCAACATTATCAGGCAACACCCACTACACACCTCACCATTGTAACAATCTTGACCTAACTTGCAACGAAAGGACAACCAGAAATAATACATGGGGAACTTGATTCGTCCTCTTCCTACAAAAAAAACACATTAAGTGAAGCATATTGATGCAGTACTCCAATCTTGTGCATAAAGGACAAACCCTTTAATCGGCCTCTCCAAGCCAGCCAACAAAGAATTTGGACTT